GGACTCTACTTGGACTCCTACCTTACAGGTCTACAGTTCGAATCTCCCTACAGCCTACAACCTACGGCGACCTACTTACCACTGGCTATCGTGCAGGTCACGGGTTCAACTCCAGGGAACTGTGCACATACTGTACACAGGTAAGCTGAGGTCAAGGGATCGACCCCTGGGATCTGCATCGGCTACTGCCAAAGGTGAAAACTGTTTCACACACAACGTCTCGCCGCATGGTAGGTGAAATGGAGAAAAGAAAGAAAGAAACGAGTTCATACTCCCACAGAAACTGGAAAGATTCATCCGTTACGATAGAATAGAAACGGGAAGGAGTGCATCTTGCCAGCCTTTTGTGGGCACAGGTGCACTCATTTTTTTTTGTTTCCTGTGCCTTTTGGCGAGGGCCGGAGCCTCACTCCTCACTGTTCTGATGGTGATACGGAGCCTTTACTACAAAGTTGCAAACTGTTTTCTGGTATTGAGACAGAACCTTGTACTAATTGTTCCGATGTTGAGACAGAAGCTTATCCCTAATTGCTCTAATTGCTCTAATGCTGCAAGCACAGCCTTATCTCAAACCACCAGGACTCTCACCCATACATTGGACGCTGAAAAAATTCTTAGAGTAGAAGCGCCGTTTCTATTCAGATGAATTTGGGCACTCCCTCCCTTGGTGGCCCGTCTCATCATTGTCGCGGCGACTTTCGGAGGTACTAGTTGTTTAAAGCACTAGTACCTCCGTCGGTGCTGGGAAATTAGGGAAAATAGGCTGTTCCCGGAAGAGTTCGAAGGCCCGGCCGGGGGCCGGCTGCCATTGATAAATGTAATCGGCGGCCGTCATTTCGTTTCGGCCTCCTGAAAGGTCGGAGGCCCAGCCCACCAGCAGAGGCCCGCTATTTTCCCACTCGGCAAATGTACTAGTGACCAAAAGGGAACGAGTAATGTAAATGGATGAGAGTAGGCAAGACAAGAGGGACAAAGCCCAAGACTCAGGGAAGCACATGCGGAATTTATTTAGTATTTCCTCGTGGAAAGCATAGTATGATAGGAGTATTATAAAGGCTAAATAGAAAAACAGTGGTTTCTTTTTTATCTTGTTGTTGTTGATATTGTTGTTGTTTCAGTGAGGTACATACATGATATGTATGTGTATCACTGTTTTCTGAGTATGGAGGAATGAAAAATTTGGGTGTGGAATATGTGGATGCCAAGGACGGAAGTCTTACAGGAAGAGAAGAGGATTTGTAGGACTTCATCCTATTCACAGGGTATAGAAAAGAAACAAGAATGTAGACGGAAGGAGTTCTCTCTCTCTCTCTCTCTCTCTCTCTGTGTCCAGTACTAACCTGTGAAGTTGGCGCCTTCAGGTACCTCGAAGATGGAGCTGGCGCCACAGGTAAGTACCGCTGGCCTCCGCCAGCCATCTCCCTCCACTGCAACTACTACCACCTACTAGCGCCCAGCGCTGAAGACTATAGCTATGGCTATGGGCGCCCAGCGCCGAAGACTACTACTAGCGCTACTACTACTGCCTAGCGCTGAAGACTACTGCAGCGCTCCTCCTGAGTGCTGCGGCCGAAATCTGAAGACTACCGTCCTACTCTCCAACTGCCTACCCGTTCAGTGCCTGAAGCTCCTATGTACTATCACGGGTGCCTCCTGACTCGGGCGAGCAGTCCAGGAGGCTGCTCTTGCCATAATGCCGAAGGGAGGCAGGGGCTGCAGCTGCAGCTCCTGCTGTGCTCTTGCCTATAATGCCGAAGGGAGCCAGGGGCTGCAGCTGCAGCTCCTGCTCGTGCTCTCGCCAATAATGCCGCAGGGAGGCAGGGGCTGCAGCTGCAGCTCCTGCTCGAGCTGGCGTGGGAACAGGCCAGAAATAGCCTGTTCCGAAACCCAGTTTTCGTGCCTGAATCTTAGGGCAGGTCGAAACAAATGAGGGCCTAAAAATAGCCCAGGGCCTAAAAATAGCCCAGGGCCTAAGAATAGCCCTCCGTTCAGGCTGGAAAAACTCTGGGTCGGAAAGACCCAGAAATAGGCTGAAACGGAGTAGGGCTTGCAGGCCCTCGTTTTTCAGTTTTCAGGCTGAAACAACCGGGGCCTGTAGATCTTAAGTTTTAGGCTTTTAGGCTGAATGTCCGGGACGGGTCCTACAGGGCCCGTGTGGCCACGCAGTATGCCACACCCCCCCGTCCTTGAAAGACCGAGCTTACCTGCGAGGGCGAAGCTGTCTGTCTGACGGAGGGACCACAGTCCGGGCGGGAGGGGCAGGCCGTGGAGGTCCCTTGGCTAACCTTTGACGTTCATAGTGAGTGTAGATCAGCGGTGCGGATGCTTTCAAATCTGGTCCTGAAATCCACCGAGTGTTGTCGCGATCGCATGCTTTGAATGTGATTTTGTACTGCCGCGGCTTGCTGCCGTACTTGCGATCGGTGATGACGCGGTCAACTTCCTGATGGCCATCCATAGGAGGGTCCTGCGATCGTCGGCCCGGAAAGTCGTCGCTCTTGGCTGGCGTGTATGTTGCCAGCTTCGAGGCGTGGAAGACCGGATGGACCGTCAGATGCTCTGGAATGTYRATCACAAATGAAGGGCCATCGGGCTCATCGCCCGCGGMTGYTGTCACMGACCAAGGTCCAAACCACTTGGGAAGCAGTTTGCGTGAAACGTCCTGTTCCAGTGCAAACTCTTCCGCGGAGACCCAAACCAGATCACCGGCGCGGATGGGACATGGTACGCGACGCCTGTTGGCTTGGTGCTGTATGCGGACTTGAGCCTTTTGCATGCGTGGGCTTGAGTCAGCAATTCCCTGTACTTCCGAACGGAAGCTGGAGAGCAGGCAGCGTCAATGTCGGCTTCGAGGGAGGAGAAGGTCGGCGAAAATCTGGCCTTTCCGTCCACCGTGGTGCAACTGGAATGGAGTCGGGCCGATCGCCGGATGCACCGAAGTGTTGTAGGCGAACTCGATGTCGGGGAGGCGGTCAACCCAATCTTTCTGGTCCGGACGGATGAGCGTACAAAGCATCATTTGAGCGGTTTGATGTGCCCGTTCCGTCTGCCCGTCTGTCTGAGGGTGTCGAGCCGAACTTGGTTTCATTGTTGTGCCGGACTCCGGCATGAGAGCAGTCCAAAACGCCGACATGAAACGAGTGTCGCGGTCGCTGACAATGTCTTCTGGTACACCGTGGCCGCAAATCCAACCAGTGTGCAGGAGGCGTGCCAGCTCGGGAGCCGTGGAGTAGTACTTGCAAGGGAGAAAATGCACGTACTTACTCAATCGGTCCACCACCGTGAGGATGCCGTCGTGCCCGAGCCGGTTACGAGGAAATGGACCGGTGACGTCCATGGCAATGGAGAGACCGGGTTCCCGTGGGATAGGCATCGGGTGTAACTCGCCGTAGGGATTGCGGTTGCGGGGCTTGCTGCGTCGGCAAACTTCGCAAGAGTCGCAATACCGAGTGACATCGGTAATGAGGTCGGGCCATTGAAATCGTTGTCGAAGCCGTGCAATAGTGCGGTTGACTCCGAAATGGCCGGCGAGTCGTGAATCATGATACTCGCCGAGGAGGCGACTCCGAAGATGACGATCGCGTGGGACGCACAATAAGTCCTTGCCTCTCGAGTGGAGGAGTAAGTATCCGTCGACGATGCAATAGTGGCTGGCTCCCGGGTGATCCGAAGATAGCTGTGCGTACAGCGTGGCGAAGTCCGGATCAGACTCTTATGCCCGGATGAAGTGTCGCTGAAGCTCCTCGTCGAATGCGAAGGCATGATGTGTCATAGCGCAAAGATCAGGTCTTCGTGAGAGTGCATCTGCTGCGCGATTTGAGAGGCCGGGAAGATGTTTCGGTGTGAAGTCAAACTGGTCAATGAAGTACATCCATCGTCCGATCGTGCTGCTCACTGTATCCTGCGTCTTGTAGTAGGTCAATGGATTGTTGTCTGTAACCCATGTGAACCTACGACGCCCAAGGAGGAAGTGCCGCCATCGCTTGAGAGCCATGACGAACGCGAGTAGCTACTTCCTTGCATCATCAAGCGAGTTAATGGGAGGCACTTTGTGGCTGAAATACTCCACGGG